GTTGTACGTTCCCGCCTTCTTAAGGTGACTGAAATTTCCTCAATGACACATGGCCGAGTGGATAGGGACATTAGTTACCCAAAGAGTTGTGAGTGGTGAACGAAAAAACGTGAGTTTAGTTAAAGGGAAATAACTGAAACATCCGGGAGAGGCATGGCACATGGAACTAGAACCCCGCTGGACGAAATAAAGGGCTCGGTTCGAAATTCCAATCACCTGGGCCGTATAACGGCCGAAACCTTATGAATATGGGAATAAATTCACGTTTTACTATTGTTCTCTGGAATGTTTCCTATATGGAAATGGTTATTTTTGCAATTATCATTACTAATTGTTTGGTCAACGAATGTCGAATATTTCCTCTATGGGAACGCTAATTTTCCCATTGCCATTACTAATTGTTCATACAATGAATAGCTGTTTTGAAACATCTATTTTTACCATCACCATCCATGTTTATTTGGTTAATGTATGTCGAATGTTTCCTATAAGGAAATGACCATTTTTGCCATTACATTTATCATGTATACGATAAGTAGTCAAAGCTGCACTATCATGGAAATTATTTTATATTCAGTCTAGATATTTATTCGCCGAGCTTAATTAGGCAGATAATCCGCGTAAGTCTTTACCGATTGAAGATTGAACTCTGTATCAATGTCTTTCGAGGCTAACTTGTTATCATCTCAAACTTGACGCCTAATTCTCGTCTCAAATTATGCAGCTTATTACCATCCGGGCTGTCTGTAAGATCTACGCATTATTACGGACTTAAATTTGAAAATAATTCTATTGTCACATTTGAAAAACAAAATAAAATAAACATTACATTATTGACGTTGCTTTCAAACTAAAATAAGCAGCTTCCATAGACTGCGCACATTAATTCATTATGCAAATATTCCGCGCATGACAAGACGGACATAATTCTGAATTTAAAACATGCAAACTGAACAGGACTTAGATCGGCTGCTGTTAGGAAAATTTAATTAAAGGAAATAATAACGAAAAATGATTAATGGGAATTTTTTTTTCGGAATTAATTGCTCTTTTCATAGAAATAAAATAAATTTAACGAAGTGGCTTCAGATTGTAGCGTTTCCCATCATATGGCCAGGACTCGATTTTCAAGAAAGGAAAATTGATTTTCCCCCAGTCCAAAGTTAAAGAAACAGAAACTAAATAGTGTCTATATATACAATTTAATTATTTAAAATTCTATTATTATTATTATTAGTAGTAGTAGTAGTAATAGTAGTAGTAGTAATAGTAGTAGTAGTAATAGTAGTAGTAGTAAGAGGAGGAGGAGCAGTAGTAGTAATAGTAGTAGTAGTAAGGCTTAGAGAAGAACGCGTTCGAAGTAAAGAAAAGAAAAGACAATTTTAACAATGTTGAACAATATTTCAACAGTATGTCAGTCTTCGTCAGGTTATATTTAAGAAATGTATATAAGTAAAAAATATTTAAAAAAATCAACATAAAATTTTAAGTCTTTGTAGAATTACGACTATCATTGTGTTTATTATTATTATTAATTTTATTTCCTTTGATTTCTGGCGTTTATACATTTCTTTATGAGGCATATTTAATTATTATGGATAAGTTGATGCTGACGAACATTGCCGGTACTTTGCTACGATAAATCCTTTTACAATACAGGTAATAATAACAATAATAATAATAATAATAATAATAATAATAATGAATATACTTACAGTAATAACAAAGTAGCGACATACGTGCACTGGAATACATGCAAGAAGCACAAAATCGAAACCACTGAGACATGGTATGAGCACCAACCAGACATAATTTTTTTTTAAGTGTTTCCCCACAAGCAAGGCGGGAAACCACTAAGACGCAAGGGGTTACAGAAGATTTGGAGCAAGATCAGATAGGAGTGATAGAGGAAAAGATGAGGAGAAGGATAGTGGATAGGGCAAGGCAACTAGAGATGCCGATTGACATTACATTTGAATAGTTGTAGATTATAGCTCTCAGGGAAACTGGAATAGGGAAGGGAGTTCCACAAGCGAGAGGTGCGAGACATGAAGCTATTGGAGTAGAAGAGACGGCTACATTTAGTAGTTTCAACAGTGAAAGAGTGAGAGCGGGATTTCATCCTCGTAGGGTGCTTGAACTCATGAAGTCGGGGAACCAGCGAATGCAGCTCCTCGGAGCAATTGCCATGAAAGTATTTGTAAAAAAGACAGAGAGAGGCGACGGCGCGTCTATGAGAGAGTGACTGTAGACGAAATGCCAGAACAGGGCTAATTAATCAAAATAACGATGTAACTATCCACTGGGATTCCAATTCAAAATGACAGGGAAATAAAAGCGAACAGATCTGATAATATCATAAAAGACAAGAAATTCAGGATGTGTATGCTTATTGACATAGCAGTACCATCTGAGAGGAACGCCTCCACGAAAATTATCGAGAGATTGTTCAAATACAAGGAACTGGAAATCGAGATTAACAGGATGTGGGGAATGAAGTCTGAGACTGTACCAATAGTAATGTACCTCGTGAGAAAAGGAATGTAAAATTTTACTAACAGTGTCACAGGTAACATCAACATACAAGCTGGCCAGAAAATCGCTCTACCATGAACATCCCAGATACTAAGAAAAGTGCTATTAATTAAATAACAATTCTCCTGTAGGCACTAAGGACCATGTTTTGAACCCGGCTCTACAGGATACAAACCAGGAAATATAAGATACACCAATGGTAATAATAATAATAATAATAATAATAATAATGATAAAGAGTGCCTTGAACAAATAAGAATAAAGATTGACTTAAAGAAATAATAATAATAATAATAATAATAAATGCCTTAAAAATAAAACACATTGTACTCCCAAGTTTCTCAGGCATTACAAAGAGCTTTTGTGTGAACTTGGTTTTTTCTTTTTTTTTAGATAAATAATTAGTGGAAATTGCCATGAAGCCAATTCTAATCTTAGGTCTCTGGTTGGGACCCCGAAGAAATGTGTATTCAACAGAAATCAAAGGAAATAATAATAATAATAATAATAATAATAATAATAATAATAATAATAAACTGTTATTAAAGACCACAAAGAAAAACGGTGCCTCCTTATTGATATGGCAGTCCCTGCTGACTGCAATGTACCTTTGAAGATATTCAAAAAGCTGTCAAAATACAAGGACCTTGAAATAGAAATCTCGAAAATGTGGCATATGGGAACATCAACAATCCCTGTTGCAGTTGGAGCCCTAGGACTGGTTGGAAAAGATTGCAGTAGACTAATTGAAGGGATTCCTGGAAATCCATGCCTCAAGGAGATACAAAAAATTGTTCTGACAAGTACAGCCCACACTTTAAGGGCTTTATCTATGTATTTTTTTGTCAGTGGAAAGTCTCATGATATCCTTTCTAAAATTAGGTCTCTGGGCGGGACCCGGAAAGAAATGTCTAAACGCCAGAAATCAAAGAAAAATAAAAATAAAAATAATAATAATAATCTGAAAGTATTGCGTTGACATCCAGCTGGGTATAACTGTGTCTTATTGGCAGGAAAGGCTCTTTAACTTTTAATGTCCTCCTGTCTCGATAAAACTACTGGTGCTTTTGCAAACTGGAATTAACTCGCATTCATAATATTAATGAATTATTCAATCAAAACATTGAAAATAACGGCGTGTAATAGAATAAAACCAATGCTGGAGTTGTCTCGCCCGGCAGCTGTCATATTGCACAGCAGGCTTGGCCCAGTAAGCATACTAAAACTGCTAGAGTGAGAAGCAAAATAGAATTGTGAGGAAGCGTTCTGATACGAGCGAATCAACAGTTAGAGGAGACTGAATAGGTATGCATGTGGTATGGAAAGAGAATGATATATTCAATATAGAATAGCAAAGGTTTTCTCCAAAGAAACTTTTTAAAAAAAATGTAAAATACCAAGATCTAACTCGGGAGCAGAAGACACTATAGATTCTGGAAGGGATTCCTGTCTTAATGGTTGCGCTTGAAAGATCATCTAGAAATACGAAATATCGATTAGAAAAAAAAATATTGAGGCAAAACTGCTATGATTTACCCTGGGAGGATTTTACGAAAATCTATTGAGATATGAGGAGTGTTGTTGATATTCGGTCTCAAGGAAAGAATTTCTATTGATTATGTCAATGCGAGACACCAGTGTAATAATAATAATAATAATAATAATAATAATAATAATAATAATACAATTTTGAAGATTTTCAAAAAAATATAGAAATAAAAAAGATCTTCAAATGGAAATATCAAATTGTATCACATGAAATCATCAATAAGTCCATTTGTGGTTGGGGGCCTAAGTTTGATTAGAAAAGGTTCTGGTAAGGTCTTGTTTGAGGTCCAATATTTTGGGAAATATGTGTTGACATATAGTGGTACCTTTCGTACATATGAAATATCATTTAAATACGATAGCCGTTTTGGGTATGACGATAGACTACAGTGCTGTTCGATAAAAGTGACTCACCTGATTTTTTTTTACTAAATGTTCTCTTCTCCGATGAAACGAAAGTTGAGCTAAATTCAAAGGATAAGCGATCTAAAATTTGAAGAAGAAGAAGCTTTGAAAGCTCTTTGAATTTAGCAGTAAGTACTGTCAAGCATCCGTTCAGTATAATGTTCTGGGGATGCTTTTCTTTTCATCGACATGGTTTCTTAAAACCTATTGAAAAGACCCTCAGGAGCGAGCAGTAAAGGAGAATTTTATAGTCTTGTCTGCTCCCTTCTGCTGAAAGGGTGCAAATCGACCCCACCAAGCTCTTTTTTTATGCAGGATAATGCTCCCTGTCACAAATCAAAATTGATGAAAGAATACTTTGATGAGAAGCAGGTGAATGTTATGACATGGCCGCCCCAATCTCCTGACCTCAACCCCAGAGAAAACTTATGGAGCATGTTGCTCAACTGTTTTCTTGAAAGCCTGTACTTTATAATGCAAGACCAAGACGGCCCAGGCGTGGCTGCTCAACAATGTTCCTCACCATTGGTCGCCGCACTTGTGGCCGCCCTCCTCACCTGATTGCAACTACCTTGACTATTTCTTCTAGGGCGTGATCGAGGCCAAGACCAACAAGCACGCCCAAAACACGGTCGACTCTCTGAAGGCTGCCATCGTGGAGGCGTTCGCCGCCATGGACAAGGACATGGTCGCCAAATCGTGTGACTAAATTCGCGCCCGCCTTGAGATTGTCGTCGCCGCCAGCGGTGGTCACATTGAAAAAACCAAATAAAATGTATAATGTAATGCAGTATGTAATACTAACTGTTGCTAAATAAACTGTGGGGTATCTGCATATACAACTTTTGTTTTTGTTGCCTACGCCATTTTTTTGTAACGTGTCGGATTTTGCTGCGACACCATATATATATATATATATATATATATATATATATATATATATATATATATATATATATATATATATATATATAATATAATTAAATAATATAGACAAGTGTTGTCTATTTATTTTATGTAAATTATTTTCATATATATATATATATATATATATATATATATATATATATATATTGTATATTTAGGCAGCAATCCTTCGTTTATGCATGTTTCATTAAAACGACAGACAAGTTACTACACTAAGCTTTTTATTTAATTTTTCTTGTGTTCAAACAAGAGCTTTCTTTTTCTGGACAAAAGGTGTGTAAGAACTATCCAAATGTTTTATAGTTCCGAGCGCTTTCGGCTGTACCTTTAGCCATTATCAAGGATGATTCGATTGGACAGTTCTTACACACCCTTTGTCCAGAAAAGAAAGCTCTTGTTCGAACACAAAAAAAATTAAATAAAAAGCTTAACCGCGTATACCTGTCGTTTTAATGGAACATATATATATATATATATATATATATATATATATATATATATATATATTACCAGCAATGCATTTTTATAAAATAGAAAAATATTACTAGCAATGCATCTTAGTAAAAAATAAGTCACTAATATTCTCAAGAAAAATAAATTTCAGCATTAAATGATACCTAAGTAGTTGATATGCCGCTAAACAAACAAACAATATTACAGATTACATAGGCAATTTGGTTTATTACATGGCTTAGTTTATGACTCCGGTGCTCCTATCCGTTCATGGCTACTTCCAGTCGAACAGCATATCGTATCACAAATCAGAATTAGTAGCAGAGTTGGTCATGGAACACTGTAATTGGTTTCTGTTTTAAAACAATCCTCCTCAGTTACTGGCCTTGTTCTTCACATATTTTCGCCCTTTTTCATACTCCTCTTTATTTTGTTAGTCTCTTCTTTCATTTCTTTTTACTTTTCCGTCTTTCGATTCCTTATATTAGAAACAATTGTGTGTGTATCTGGTCTTTGCTATATGTTTTTAATTCACAAGAATTATAGCTTATCTTTTTCATTCTGATATTTATTCGTTTTTTTGTTTTGAGTTTAATATTTTTCTTGTTTTTTTTTCTTACATTTCTGTTTATATTTCTTTCTTTTTTCTTTTCAAATTTACAGAATTTATTCCTTATATTCTTTTGAGTCCGAATATTTTAAATAATTTTTAATTCGACTTTGGTACTTGCTGATTTTATTCGACAATTCGATTTTATTTGTTAACATTCTGATTCATTCATTCATTTTCATTCACCTAAATAATTCTTTACAAAGTTTCTTTCCTTCCTTCCTTCTTTCTTTCTATCTTATTTCTTTCTTTCTTTCTTTCTTTCTTTCTTTCTTTCTTTCTTTCTTTCTTATATAATGTATTTTTCTTTCTTTATTATCTTTGTTGTTCTTTCTTCCTTTCTTTCTTTCTTTCTTTCTTTCTTTCTTTCTTTCTTTCTTTCTTTCTTTCTTATATAATATATTTTCTTTATTTATTTCCTCTGTTGTTCTTCCTTTCTTTCTTTCTTTCTTTCGTTTTTTCTTATCCAATGATTTCTTATTCCATTAACCTTTTCCTCATAATTTCTTTCTTTTTTTTAATGTCATAGTCTTTACTTTCTTTTTCTCTGATATTTTTCTTTCATTCGTTCGTTTTTCTTTTTTCTTCACTTCTGATATAAAGTATTTTTATTTCTTTATTTTCTCTGTTTTTCTTTCTGCCTTTATTTATTTCTTATATAATATATTTTCTTTCTTTATTTCGTCTGTTCTCTTTCTTTCTTTCTTTCTTTCTTTCTTTCTTTCTTATATAATTTATTTTATTTTTTATTTTCATGCTTTTCTCTCTTTCTTTCTTTCGTTTTTTCTTATCCAATGATTTCTTATTCCATTAACCTTTTCCTCATAATTTCTTTCTTTTTTTTTGTAATGTCATAGTCGTTACTTTCTTTTTCTCTGATATTTTTCTTTCATTCGTGCGTTTTTCTTTTTTCTTCACTTCTGATATAAAGTATTTTTATTTCTTTATTTTCTCTGTTTTTCTTTCTTTCTTATTTGGCACAGTTTTATTTTTTAATCGTTTTCCGTAATTACGTTCCATAATAACTTCATCAAAATGTTATATTCTTCTTTTCTCTCATTTTATCTATTTTTCTTCATTGCTGATCATTTCTTCCTTGTTTATTTTATCATTAGTATTTGTTTCTTTTCAGTTTCTTCACTTTCTCTCTTTTTTTATAGCTTTTTTCAGATTTGTTGATTTTTTCATTCTTGATCTTCTTTTGTCATACATTTTTAGTTGCTTTCTTTCTTTCTCTTCCTTCATTCTTTCTTTTTTCTTCTACTTTTTAATTAAATCTATTTTTATGTCTTTTTTTTATATATTTCTATTTGATTTCGGTGATCTTCCTTTTATTTCTACATGTTTGCTGTTATTTTTTCTTGATTTTCTTTCTTTGTCCTTTTTTGCCAATTCTTTCTTTATTTCATGTTTTCTTGCTTACATGTTTTTATATAACTTTCTTAATTTTTACTGATTTCTTTCTTTTCGATTTAATCGTCATTTCCTTCATTTGGGTTAATGTTCGTTGATTTTCTTGTTTTCTGTTTATTCCTTAATTTTAATTGATTTCTGTTTTTTTAATTTTTTTATTCATTATAATCGATTTCTTTCTTTCTTATTTCCTCATTTTGATTGATTCCTTTTCATATATTTTATTCATTCTATTCGATTTCTTTCTTTTTCATTTTCATTCTTAATTTTAATTGATATCTCTATTATTAATTTTTATTCATTTTAATTGATCTCTATATTTCATTTTTATTCATTTTAATTGATTTCTCTATTTTTTATTTCGTTTCTTCATTTTGATATCTTTCCCATTTCTTTTCTTTCTTCCTTTTAATCGATCTCTGTCTTTTTTTATTTTTTCTTCATTTTAATCGATGTCTTTCTATTGCATTTTCCTTTCTTACTTTTAATCGATCTCTGTCTTTTTTTTCTTCATTTTAATCGATTTCTTTCTATTGCATTTTCCTTTCTTACTTTTAATCGATCTCTGTCTTTTTTTCTTCATTTTAATCGATTTCTTTCTATTGTATTTTCGTTTCTTCATTCTAATCGATTTCCTTTTTTTATTTTGATTCTTCATTGTAATTGATTTCGATTTTTCCTTCTTTATTCGTTTTAGCTGATTTTTCTAGTTATTTTACTTTCTTTGTTTTTATTCTTCAGCTCATTCTCGACTTTCTTCAAAACACCTCCCCCGCCCTACACATTTCTGATTTTCTGATTGTTTTTTCCTTCCTTTGTTTTATACCCTCCCCGACTCCAACCTTATCTTAGGAGTCAATGAAAATAGGGCGTCAGTGAATAATGAATTAAAAACGATGGGCAGCCGAATCTGCTCGCCTTATCTTATTCCGCGGTGATGAGGTCAGGCGAGGTGAGGTTTGTGCCGATTTGCTACGCGCAATAATGTTACTCAGTCTTTCATTGCTGGCAACTGACTGTCTACCGAAACAAATGCCCTACACTCAATAGATTGTCATCTCTCATTTACTGTTTTAGTTTATTTTTTAACAAATCATTGTGTTCTCATTATTTTATTTTAACATTGTTTTTAGGGTGTTCAAGCCAGAGATATCTGGTGGCCATCGATGGCATGAAAATACTTAATGCTTCCGCTCGCACCAAAACTGATTTTATTTGATATTATTCTTAAGAGAAACCAGAATCTGTATAACTGATTTGGAAACCCAGAATGCTAAATCCTGATTAGTATGCCTGTCTACTAGGAGAGCTAGTCCCTGTTGCAGCCGTCTGCTCAGGCACATTTATGATTGTTCATCACACTACCCGTGGTTTATATTGCAACTATAGCGGGATCAACAGTCTTAACAATGTCATTACGCCCAAATCACGGTCATTTCGTGCTGACTCAACCTGCAACGTCTTACAAATAGCTAGAGGGTCAGGGCATTTATTATTATTGTTATTATTATTATTTTATTTTCTTTGATTTCTGGCGTTTACACATTTCTTTCCGGGTCCCGCCCAGGGACCTAAAGTTAGACTTATACTACAGATAGGTAGGGGGAGATATCAAATTATTCATTAAACAAAGGGGTAGAAGCAAAGGAATAAAAGTTATACTTTTCCGGTCATCTCTCAACCTACTAGCCGCTAAAAGATATATTTTAAAATTTTCACTCAAAGACATGATAGTCAAAGGGCATAGCATTGTAGGAAAATTACACCTGTAGCCATGAAAACAAAATAAAAAAAAAAATACAATATGATCCCTGTCAATGCGGATATATACACATGTACATAATATATATATATATATACACATACAAGGGAGAGAGAGAGAGACAGATATTAGTAAACATGTACAGATACACGCACCGACAGAGATATGGGATGATAAGGTAAGAGAAAAATTTTAAAAAAATGTGAAAAATGGACACGGATGTCCGTTTAAGGTCGGGGGGGGGATTGAAATATAAGTTAAAACAAAAAAAAGGGAAAGAGATTATTATTATTATTATTATTATTATTATTATTATTATTATTATTATTATTTCCTTGGATTTCTTTTGTATACAGAAATGGCTTCATAGTGTTTTCCACTGATCATTTTTGCAAAAAAAAAACCCCAAAAAAACAAAAAAAAAAAAAAAAAAAACCCAAAACACCTCCTCAGGAATACATACATTTTACATGGATAAAGCTCTTCGCAATGTGTGACCTGTACTTGTGAGTACAATTCTATGTATTTCTTTAAGGCATGGGCTACCAGGAATCTTCAATGAGTCTATCGGAACGTTTTAAAATCACTCTAAGGACTCCAACTGCAACTGATCAATTGATGTCTTCTTGTATCACATTTTTGAAATTTCCGCTTCAAGATCCTTGTATTTTGATAGTTTTTTTTTTGAAGACTTTCAATCTGCAGAGACTGGCATGTCAATAATAAAGCACATTCCGTTCTTGTGGTCTTTGATCAGAATGTCTGGGCGATTAGCATTGGTTGTTCTGTTCAATAAAGTCCCATAAAATGTTTACAGGTATCTGTAACCGGTTCTGGGTGATGTTCACAGTGGCGTAGCTAGGGAGGCGGACAACCCCGGGTGCCAGCACAGGAGGGGTGACACAATGTTACCCCCAACAAAATTTTTTAACCAGGCTAAGGTGCCAAAAATAGTCTGAAAATAGTGGTGGAGACACAGGGTTTCGCAGGCTAGCATATGACCCCCCCCCAGAAATAATTTATGACCCCCTGTTTTGTCCCCTCGTCAGAAATCTTCTAATAAATTGTCGGGAAAAATAGCAATGTTTTCAGCTTTTGATTTGAACTGAGTAACGTACAGGTCAGTAGAGTAAAGTAGAGGTAGAGCATGTATGAAAATTTAGCTACAGCTAACCATTCAGCATAGGGTAAATCGGGGTCATTGGGGTGACATTTGAGCGGACCGCCCCGGGTGACGTTTACTCTAGCTACGACACTGGATGTTCATACCAATTTCTTGCAGTTTCCGTCCGGTAAAAGTTGACTTTCCACTTCAGACATTGGCCCACTCTGTTATGCCGAGGTTTTTTTTCCCCCAGTTATTATTAATATCATTATTATTTTATTTCCTTTGATTTCTCGTGTGTACTTATTTCTTTCCGGGTTCCAACGAGAGGCCTAAGGTCAAAAATGGCATCATGAAATTTTCCACTGAGTAATTTCGAGAAAAAAAAAATCAAACATATTTTACATAGCTCTTCGTAAGTTGTGGCCTGTACTCGCGAGAACATTTTTTTTTGTATTTCTTTAAGCCATGGACTACCAAGAATCCCTTCAATGAGTCGATTCATATATTTTCCCATCAATCGGATTTGCCAGGATTTTCAAACGGGTCATGTTAACAAGAAAAATAAAATAAAACTGGCTTAAAACATGAGCAGTTTGAAAAATCCTTGCATACTATCTTAATTTGTAGGGTGATATAATCACAACCGCTATATAATTAAAATTCCTATTGGATGTAATTTGTATGCTCAGTTTAAATAAAACTATGTTAATATTTAATATTATATTAATAGGATACATTTGATTTATATACCAACGGATCATTACCTGTATATATGAAGAAAGATTTATGGAAAAAACAAACCAAAATCCTAATATGCAATTATGCTGTTTTAATGTTAATATAATGTCAACGTCGGACGTTTCGGTCTAGTAGACCATCTTCAGGACATATTCATAAAACATAACTACTAGACCGAAACGTCCGACGTTGACATTATATTAACATTAAAACAGCATAATTGCATATTAGGATTTTGGTTTGTTTTTTCTGTCTAATTTTCTTCATACCGTCGGATCTATATCCATATATTTGCTTACATATATATATATATATATATATATATATATGCTTGACAAGTTAAATGCACGCGAAGTCTACTTAACCAATGAAAAATAAACATCACAAATATAAAAAAATACCTGAATTTTTTTCCCATATCTCATTCTTTGAAGCTTTTATAAAATTGAAATATATTAGATTTAGATTTATAAACATTTCCTAATTCTTCTTCATCCTTTCTATCTATCTATCTATCTATCTATTTCAGCCTGTTCATATCTATCTATCTATCTATCTATCTATCTATCTATCTATCTATCTATTTCAGCCTGTTCATATCTATCTATCTCAGCCTTTTCATATCTATCTATCTATCTATCTATCTATCTATCTATCTATCTATCTATTTCAGCCTGTTCATATCTATCTATCTATCTCAGCCTTTTCATATCTATCTATCTATCTATCTATCTATCTATCTATTTCAGCCTGATCATATCTATCTATCTATCTCAGTCTTTTAATATCTATCTATCTATCTATCTATTTATCTATCTATCTATCTATCTATCTATCTATCTATCTATCTATCTATCTCAGCCTGTTCATATCTATCTATCTATCTATCTATCTATCTATCTATCTATCTATCTATCTATCCTCGGTTTGTTTCTATGTATGTATTATAATTTCGGATGGTTATTAGTAAAGACAAGGCGTTGCCTTTTGAACAGCTGAATCAGTACGTTTGTCACAATCACTCCTTGCATTAGCGCAAAGAAAAACACGTAAAAAAACGTAAAAAATATATATCTTTAAGAAGGACTGAAATCATAATTCCAACTCATAAGACAGTGGAAACAAACCGTCTAGAAAGGTTCCATAAAAAGTTTAAAGAAATCGGTACCCTGCAAAAAAAGTGTAATAAATGTAAATAAAAGAAGTGTAATACAAAAAAAACTCCAAAAAACAAAAACAAAAAAAAACAAAACAAAAAAACTCTCACGTTTTTTGATTCAACAAACAGTCTCTGTCTTGTTGCATTTTGAACCTCCTGTTTTTGCATGAGTTTTGCATTCGTTTATTTATATGTTGATAGTATTAATGGGTTTCCTGATACTTGTGGAGTGTCAGTCGATGAAGTCCTTAGGCTGACTTAGACAAACAAACGGTAGCAAAGGACATATTGGCATTTCTTACTCTCTTCATTTCTCACTAGAATGTCTCTTTCTACGTTCTTGAAAAAAAATCATTCACTTTAATTTGTAACAGTGATTTTTTTTCAAACTATTTTTCTAATTTTACTTTTGCTATTAATGACCCCCTCCTCGAAAAAAAATATTACATAGAAACATTAACAAAAAAACCAAAAAAAAAACCCACATATGTACGAAGAAAGTCTGCAGCCATTTTGAATATCAGGCGAAGCGGTTGTACGATCTTCATGTGACATGGCACCTAATAAAAAAGCTGTAGTGTATATACATCGAGATACACGTTTCCATGGGTGTTATATACATACATACATACATACACACACACACACACACACACACACACATATATATATATATATATATATATATATATATTTAATCATTTCATCTCAAGCAAGGCGAGAATGCTACTAGTGCGCAAAGAATGAAAAGGAAGACTGAGAATAAGGAAGATCAAGGAAAGGACAAAAGATGAACGGGATTCAAGAAGATAGAAGATGGTGTTTGACGTTGTATTAAATTTTTGGGAAGATTGTAGTTATCACGGAAACAAGTAAACCGAAAGGAGTTCCACAGGTGGGAAGTGCGAGAAAAGAAACTTTTGGAGTAGAAGAGGCTGTTGCATTTAGCTATTTCGGTAAAAGGGTAGGACTTAGATGCCAATCTAGTAGGACACTTAACTTCATGCAGTCGGGGCACAAGAGTAAAAAAAGCTGGTCAGAGCAGTTGCCATGAAAATATTTGTAGAAAAGACAGAGAGAAGCCACGTCAAGTTGGTCAGAAAGTCACTGAAGTCGAGTTGCCAGGTCAAGATCAGTAACATTACATATCATTTTTGGATACTTAATAGTAAAATGTTATTTAATATTTTCTGAATGTTGAATTCCTTATGAAAATACGTCTGCTAATTGTTCAAGACTAATCTGTTTTTTTTTTTTTTGTTTTTTTTGTTTTTTTTTTTACGTAAGGGTAGCCTTATGCCACGTCATCGGTGTACCTATCTGAGATTTGAAAGATATTGAACAAAAATTCTACATTCCCTATGAAGAAGTAGGAATTAAGATAAATGTTTCTGTTGTAACCTAGGAAAGGTTACTGAATAGAATAATCAAACGAAGAACGATAATACTTAGGACACGAACAACACATATAAGATTCGCCAGCGGCTCGTAGAAGAAGAAGTCAACTGCTAGAAGTGAGTCAAGTGAATTACGCAATGAATCTCTAACTGCAGTATCTTCCAACCGCCGACGTGGTCAGATGTGGTAAATGGCCGAATTTAATGTGGGGTATCCTAGCCCGTGGGCTCGGCCAAATATTCCCCGTAGACACTGTATAAAACGGGGTCGGGTAGCTGTTTCCCGAGACAAGATTCTGCACTTCAACATAGCTTCGTCTGAGGATCTTCTCTGCTCGGAGGCAGAGAGTTTGACCCACACAGCTGGAGACGAATCTCCAACTCTAAACCACGTACAGTATTCACTACTCTATTTATGGGAATGGGTTCATACCCACTATCATCTGTAGGTATGCTACGACAGTTTCCAAAACAGAAACCATGATCTGGTATTGGAATAAAAGCAGTGATGGCACCGACCCTGAATCCATCACAGACATTGAAGGTGTAGAATTTGTAATTAGCAAACGTTTTATATAGAGTAGCATCTAAGATAACGAAATTTAATACAAAATAGGGGTAGTATTCTCGAACACCGGAAGTGACTACAAAAGCAAAATTATTAACATAAGATCTTGAATTATGTTCTTAAATAGTCACGTCAAACGAGATAGTCACATGGCTGTCATGCATGGTTCAAAAACCTGTTCATAATTGTGTAAACTATTAGCCGTATACAAGGACTTTTTAGATCGATACTTAAAAGTAGATTCGAGCGAAGGAAGCCTGTAGGTTTTAGCTAGGTCCTTACTTCTTCAAACCACTTTAGCGGGTGATACAGAACCAAAACCTAAGGATATTACCAAACAACAGAGACCTCATCACGTGAGGGCTTTCAAAAGCAGCAACAACTAAAATGGCTAGCCTCTGTAACTCGAAGAGAAAATAATGGCATAATCTAGATGTTGCCGTTCCACACTACTTCAGACAAAAGGTTAGGAAGGAAACTCCTTTTAATACTGTAAATATTGACTTGAGAAACCTATTTTCTTGAAAAATTGATTTAATAGAATTTCTTTTTATTTCAACTGACAACAGTACCGCTTGTTCGGTCAAAGTATGTCGAATGGTTCCTTATAAGGAAACGGTTAATATTACTGTTAGCGTGAGAATTGAGAAGACATACGACACATTGTTGACAAACCGTTTTCGAGAGAGTAAACTCTAACTGCACTGCCTACTAGGTCAATGAATACCGAATATTTTCTTATAAGGAAATAGCTAATATTACCATTATTATTAGAAATGAGAACAGATATTTTGAACTTATTAACATATTTAGCATTTATTTTATTGAAGAAATCTTTTATTCATTGTTGTTCAACGAATATAAGGCCCAAGAGGCACTCATACCAGAGGGTTTCTGAAAGACTTTGTGGAAAGTAGCTAACGGTTGCCTTGAGACATGAAGCATTTGAGATTGTAATGATCGTGAAAGTCTCCTATCTGTTATTTGTTCCACACAGTAGCAGTTCTTGGGAGGAAGCTGTCCAAATGAAATTGCCTGCTTGCTCATCGATTATGAACGGAGTGAAGATAATTCGACCAACTGGACGCAGCAAGGCGGCTCTTAGTTGTAAATGCCTGTAAATTGTGGAATAAATGAATGCAGTTCGTCAGAATTTGTGTATTTAGGCAGAAATTCTCTTTTAGGCAAGGCTGATTAAATAAATTGCCGATATTATGTCTACTTATTTTTAACAGAATCCATTCATACTCACAAATAATCTTCCGTGCAGTGCAATTAAATTGATGTGAGAAAAAATCTATAACTGTGAAAACCGATTTTATTACCTGAGTACTTTCGATCTTCTTCCAAGATCATCTTCAGTGGTGCATGTAGTAATACAAAACTGTATGTTGTTCAGGGGTTCACGTACTAATACAAAACTATGCGTTGTCCATGGGTGCAAGTATTAATACAAAATTCTTTGTTGTTCAGGGGTGCACGTAGTAATACAAAACAGTGTGTTATTCAGGCGTGCATATTGCAATACAACAATGTGTGTGACTTGTTAATTTCAGCTAACATAAGGCTTCCAAACAGTTCCTGCGAACCAGTTTCACTCTCTAGGCTTTGGTCAAAACGCGGTGTAGTTTTCAGTCACATTCAAAGAATCCTGCGTACTGGAATCGTTACCATTTACTTGATTCTTATTGTAGCCTCATGGTCGAAACGCCAACGTGCTAATCATTGGACTACAACGGACGCCTACACATATAATTGTAAAAGTACATCATCAACCGGACCTTTATATATTGAAAATGGCTGGTGTAGATGTTTCTGAAATTCTTCTATTAGGGGCTTCAAAATGGACATTTTAAAAGCATGTTTAAATATATCCAGAAATATATAAAACAGAGGCGAAGAAAGAGCAATGATAAGGGGGAAAAAACAAATATAAATGAGAAGAACCGGTTATCGCTCTTCAGAGCTCAATCGAGGACAAAACATATAAAAAAATCCCTTTTGCTTCCTTACGTTTTTGCTTACGGTCATCTGACGTTGAAACACCGGTTCTCGTGCGATCACTGAAGTTAAACAACATCGAGCCAAGTCAGTGCATAGATGGGTAACCATTTTGGCGTATGTATAGCTGGCCACGCTTATTGGAGGATACTAGGGCGGCTAGCTCAGGCGCATTTGTGTTTATTCAACACCCACAGAGCCAAACCTTTGGTTTATACTGGAACTATGCTGAGCAGACCTTAGTTACAGTTTCTGGAAAAGAGAATGTTATCTAGCGCGATCAACAAATTGAACAAGCCCAACACGTTCAAGCTCTCGGTCACAATAACTTGTGGATTCGTGCTAGCACAGGTATCGACGGTCTCCATGTTTTCCGTCTACCCAATTTCACACACAAGTTCAACCCATGGTATCGTTTTTAGGCTGCACGCTGGGATTGACCCCTCCAGTTCGAAAGCATCAAGAAGTCTCCTTCTCGACAAATCGACTAAGGTAAAATTCGATTCGTCTCATTGTCAGCCACATGCCCATAACCAATTTGGTATACCATTAATGTAAGCACGGGTGTGCAGGTAGTGAAATAGATAAATTCAAATCATGTTCGTTGTATTCACTTAGGCGTAAATATCCACGGCAAACTTATGACTCCAGCTCTTCTGACCCCCACCACATCAACAGATATCGGATAATTAATAAGACTTATGTAAGTAAATTATTATTATCTCGCCAAACCTTTTACAATCTAAAAATATTTTCTGGTTTCAAATAACTTGCAAAATTTTGATAAAACTTAAAAAAATCTATCAATCATCTTTTTTATATTTCTGTTTTTATTTATATAAGCATTTAAAATGTTTTAAAGCTTGAATACAATTT